CGAAATGAGTGCATTTTCACATCCTTACTTCAATATTTTTGTTTTTTTTTTTAAATAAAAAATTGTTCCGGCACCATGGAAAAGCCTGAAAAAATTAACTCAAAATCTATTTGAAAGTTATCGAGTTTGGATTTATTCAAAAATTACTCTTGACAAGAATTTTATAAAGGAAAAGGAAAGGGTTCTGGGAGCGAAGTATGTGTCTTTCTGATGTCTTAGAGGGGGAGGGTGCAAACAGAGTAATGAGGAACCTGGGAAAAACTAGTGAGTGTGAAGCCCGAGCTTCATCACTTTAAAAAAGTAAAGCAGTCGCAAAGCACTAGGTAACTTGAGCTGAAGAATTTGAGCTGTAGAAAAACAGAGAAGAAAAGCGACACTTATGCACGAAGTAGCTACCGAAAAAACCCAAGTGAGCAAGTATCCTCTTCAAAGGGCCTGGATTCTGGACCATATGAAATCTGGATAAATAAGCTATTAAAAGCATCTCATCTTCGGCGTTATCGGTCCCGCTCGGGGTGAGCCCTAGCATTCAAGTCCATGCAAAATCGTGGTGCCGTATTTAAGGAGTATGAGACCCATACAATGATTTCCAGTTGCCAACCGATGTTCGATTCCATAATTTGATCCTCCCACACGAGTATGCTGATAACTATCTGACTAGAAAGAAAGGGGATAAAGGACAAAGGGGAGGAGGGATAGAAAGCTTGTCTGGGTAAGCCGGATTTTCAATCCCGGGACCATGCGTGTGATAGGGTGTGCCAGTTGCCACTACATTACCTCCGAATTCATAAATCATCCAGAATATAATGGATCACATATGCTACACCGAGTTAAGGATGGGAAGTATACAGCTGCCTATTTGAAAAAATAGGTGTGTCTTTCTATTTCATCCTGAACTTATGCCAAGAATGAGCCGAAGCCTTCAGAGAATAGAACTTTCTTCCTATATTTCCGCTTATTGAGATTTTTACTTACAAAATTGTGGGCCTTAGGAAACTTCGCGATCCGCTGCTGATTGTGAGTTCGACAAGTCTTCCTTTGCGACTTCAGCTTTGTTCTGAAACTCCAAACTTGCTCTACCAGAGTCCGACTAGATATCTATCTCCCATCATTTAACCAAGCTAACATGAGTTAGATCCAAGGAAGGCAGTAAAGAATGTAAGTTCCTGTTAGAGAGGGCAAAATACGTGACTACTATTCTGCGTGATCATATGAGCTGACGCTAGAGTCTAGATTAGTCCGTCTAGTGCTCTCCCATTTGCTCTATTTCGTGACTTGCGATCTTTTCCGTGTGGAATTTCATTCCTGCAACATGAGAGTCACATAGTGTCTAGGAAGGATTCGATTTCCTTTGGTTTTTAGAAGTTTGACGTGCTCTTGACTTTTTCATTTTCCACTGAGCGTCATTCTCTATGAAAAATCGTCGCTGCCATTCGAATAGAATTAAAGAGAAGGCTTGTTTTTCGACGAAAACTCAGACGACATAAAAGGACTGCCGGTCTACTCCTCTAAGTGTGTATGTATAAATTTACAACATGAAAAGATATATTAAGACGTTAGACGCCTTCATGAAGAAGCAACAACAAGAAGCTAGAGAGAGGTTTAATTCTTCTAGGTAGGTAAGGGTTTGGTTGTAAACAAAGAGGTATCATAGCAAGCAGGAATATTCCCACAAGAACTCGTCATAGATTCCCTATTGTCAGAAGTCAGTGGACCCCTTCGGACCCCATGAATATGATGAAAGAGGATATCAGCTGACATCCATTGAGTACAACCATATTGAAGAGTTATAGAATAAAGATTGAAAAGTTGAGCAATTTTTTTCTGATATACGCCTAGCAATAGACTTTCATTTAGAATTGTAGTAGCGTTGTGAATGCGAATGAGGACTATACAATGACTTGCACTGGTTTTCCGATATGGGAGCAGTGCCTCTATCCTCCCAGACGAGTTCAGAACTAATAAAACGACTCAGGAGGGATGGATGACTCAGTTGCCCTGAACAGATATTCATT